AAAAAAAAGGGGGACTCAAAAACCATGACATCTCCTCCCCCAGTCGAATGCAGCCCTCTTCCCTCTCCTGCTCCTCCTCTCATACCCTCCCCAGACTTTCGTCATCTTAACATCAAGTGAGTGAGTCCTTTCTTTGCTTCTTCTTTTCAACTCTCTCTTTTGAACTCTCTCTTTTCAACTCTCTCCCCCTCCCCCCCCCCCAAAAAGAGGTACATAACATATACATCACATGACTAACGATCCCAGCCCGTTGGAGTTGTTGGAGCGGGTGAGGAGGGAGGAGGGGAGGGTGCTGTACGCGGCGGCGCCGATGGTGCGGTATAGTAAGCTGGCGTTCAGGGAGACGGTGGCGCGGGTGGGGGGCGTGGATCTCGTGTGGACGCCGATGGTGAGTTGGTGAGAAAGAGAGGAGAGTCCGAGAGGGAGAAGAGAGAAGGGAAAAGAGAGGAGAGGGAAGGGCAGAAAATTGGAAGAGTCAATGGCTGATACGTGCGTGGTGTGGTGTGTAGATTCTGGCAAAGGAGTTTAATCGCAGTGCGTTAGCCCGAGACAGCGGTTCGTCTGCTCCTCCCCCTCCTCCTCCTTCTGCAATTCCCGTGCGCTGTTTATACATCTCCTTCTCCTCTGTCGATACATAATCGAGCAGCAACAGCAACAGCAACGTTCGTCCGTCCTAGCTGACATTGATTGCCCCCTCCCCAAAGATTTCACCCTCGCCCCCTCACCAACCCCGACCATCGTCCAGCTAGGCGTCAACTCCCCCCAGGAGATGCACCGCAGCACCCTCCTCCTCGCGCCCCACGTCAACGGCATCGACATCAACTGCGGCTGTCCCCAGTCCTGGGCCTGCGCCGAAACCCTCGGCGCCGCCCTCATGCACCAGCCGGCCCTCGTCTCCGCGCTCGTCCGCTCCGCCAAGTCCGCGCTCGCCTCCCTCGGTCTGCAAGGGCGCAAGACGGTCAGCGTGAAGATCCGCGTCCACGCCGCCATCCACGAGACGCGGGCTTTCGTGCGCGCCGTCGAGGACGCCGGCGTCGATTTCATCACGGTGCACGGCCGGACGAGGAGCACGCCGAGCAGCAAGCCCGTGGATCTGGACGCCATCCGCGCCGTGAAGGCCGCGGCCAGGGTCCCCGTGCTCGCCAACGGGGACGTGTTCACGCTCGCCGACGTGCGGCGGGTGGTCGAGGCGACGGGTGTGGACGGCGTGATGAGTGCGCGGGGCCTGCTGGAGGACCCGGGGCTCTTTGCCCATCATCATCATCATCATCATCCTCATCATCCCGAACCCGCCGCACCCGCCGCACCCGCCGAGCCCGCCGCTGCCGAGGAGAGGCGGCGACGCTGGAAGGTCCTCGAGCACTTCGTCATCCAAGTCATCCGCGCCCCGATCCCGTTCAAGCTAGTCGTGCACCACCTAAGCGAGATGGGGAGCAGCGATCGCGAGCGGAAGGGCAGTCTATTCAGCAAGGAAGAGAAGGCGCGGCTGATGGAGTGCAAGACGATGCTGGAGCTCCTCGACTGGTTAGACGAGCTGGGTGATGGGAGGGAGATTAGGCGGTGATGAAGATGATGAAGATGGTACATACATACACACATACAGAGAGAGATTCGGCTAGTTAGTTAGTGAGTTAGTTAGCTAGCTAGCTAGTTGGTTCTTGAAGTTCTGCATGATCATCAAGCGGGTATGGTGATTGATCATCGAGCAGGCAGAGGAGGGGGGTCCTTTTCGTCCTTCTTCTTCTTCCTCTTCCTACGTGGATCGCCACATGCTTGGTATGGGAGGAGGAATACCTGGATTGGGAGAAGGGATAGGTAACCTGGTTGGCGCAGAAGGGACGACGCAGAACAGCTCGCAAGGAGCCACGCTCGCGTGTCACCATGGACGGTGGCAAGCGACACCTGGCCACCGATCAACCATACTCCGGCTATATCGGCTATAAGAACGGAAGACCAACTTCCTAGAAGAGCAATCATTTCCCAGGTTCCATGCCGAGGGAGGAGGTCGAGCCCAGCAGGCCAGGGATGGTGATGATACCGGTACCGTGTCATCGAGAGACAGTCGTCAGCTCGGCGAAGGAAACAGAAACAAATAGGTCGAAGGCAAAAAGTCTTCTTATTAATCTAACATTTTCTTTCCACTGTCCGCATTCACCAACACAAGACAGTTTTCTCCAGCCTCTCGGCCACCCATCCACCCCTTATATGCAATGACTTTTTAAAGAATTAAGAACAGGAGCCAGGTAACCTCATAACGTCGTATCCAGCCAGCCAGCAGGAGTAGTAGCCATCTCCATGTTCAGCCATCTCGCAGAATCAAGAAAGAAAGTTTCCGCCACCCCCATATGCCAGCCAGATTCAATCTCCATTCATCAATAAAGACCTCCGATTCAACATGCTCAAGAAAAACCAACCGGCAGATGAAAGGACCGCCCCCGGCAAAACAGAGAACAGCAAGATTTCAAAGCCCCAGATGTGCAAGAAAGACTCAAAACGAATTTTTTGATGTGAACCCCCAACCCACTGCTCCCATTTGTGCATTCCTTCTTTCCATTCTTTTCTACCGCCGTCCCCAGAACGGTTACTGCTGGAGTCTAGAGCCAGAGCCAGCGACGGATACCGGCCGACTTGCACCCAATCTGTATCGCCAATCCGAAGCGGAGCATAGAAGACCGCAGTTCTCAAAATCAATTTCCATACCGATGTCCCATTCCATTTTTTGTGAGCATGCCAGCTCACCCCAGTCAGCGAAAGATGATCCAAATGCCAATCGTTGTACAAGAAATAGGAAAGAGGTTGCCTCAAGAGGCCAATGAGAGAAAAGAAAAAGAAAAAAATCTGGCCGACTAATTACAGATTTCTGATGGCGAGACCAAAGCAGGACAGCAGTCCAGGTGGCGTTTTTTTTTTTTGTCGAGGCCCAGCAACTCTAAACAGGAGGAAATCGTCCCACGTGCGAAAAGAAAACAGGCCAAATAGCAAATTAGTTCCCGCAAAGCAAACATGCCTCCCCAAGCCCAGAACACCTGACTGGCCTTCCTCCCAGCATTTATGCCACCCTGTTGCGAGAGACAAAAGGAAAGAAAAAGAGGAGAAGAAGGAAAAACAGGAGAGAAAAATCTAGATTCGCTGATGCAACGCCAGAGAGCAAATTAAAGGAAGTCGTAAGATCGAGGCAGCCTCCGAATGAATAGGCGCACGCAACTCGAGATCGTAATAGGGGGGGTGTATTGATCGGACTGCGAATTACCACTTGTTGTAAAGCTCTGGCCAGCAATTTGAACGCAAGGCACGCTGAATATAAATGCAAAGAACTTTTGGTTTCGATGCGCTAGACATCAGAGGCTGCTTGGGTGAGCGATAAACGTCCGCGGAAGGCACGTGAATGAGTGCGAGGTCTCGGAGCGAATGCGTATCTATCCGGCAGTGATCTGCTGGCCATAGCCATGGTTCATAAAGTATGGTTGCTGCTTCGCGTGCATGCTGCAGCCACAGGTGCAATCAGCAGCGCCGTGATCCCAGATGGTGTTGTTGTTATTGTTGCTGTTGTGATTGTAGTGTCCGAAGTGGTGGCCGTAAGGAGTGAACGGGGTGAGCTGGGTGGCGATCTGAGTCGGGACAAATGGGACATGTGTCTGCGGCTGGAAGCCTCTCGATCCCTGGTTGTACATGGCCCAGTCGTTCCATCGAGGAGCTCCACCAGTGGCACTCGCATTGTACTCGGGGGTGTTGAGACCAGACTCGGGCGCGGATGGGGGGGTGAGTTGCGGTGTAGGATACGCAGACCAGGCGCTGTGGTCATAGCCCGCATGGAAGCCCGACTGAGGACGCTCTCGCGAAGCCGTCTTGGGATAGCCGTGGTAGGCCTGGGGGTATGGGCGCGGTCTCTGGACGCTGGTGTCGATGGGGGCCAGCGGCACCGGGGCCATCCGGGTTGCCTTGCGCTGCATGTTCCTCGCCACGCGCCATTCCTCCCAGCTCTGGATCCATGCGTTGAAGTCCTTGCTCTCGTCGAGGTTCACGTAGAGGTTCCAATCCATGGCCTCCAGCCAATCCTGCTCCCGGGTGTTGAGCTCCGTGACGGCAATGCCACTGACTTCGGACCAGGACCGGTTCTGGAAAGTGTTGTCGTCCAGGAACTTGCTTCCCAGAAGAAGGCCAATCGTCAGCATGCGCCAGACAGTCCCCTCGCTGATCTTCTCGGTCGGGAGCCCAGACGTGCCAGCAGCCTTCAGGATGTTCATTCGTCTCGCGAGATAATTCATGCCGAGAAGGATGGTCGTACTGGGAAGTCGGGTCGAGGTGAGGAGGCCCTGGACGAATTTGCGGAACGACGGGGTGACCATGGCGTTGGGCAGGACGATGCGCTGAGCCATCTCGGCAATGTATTCCGTCATCTGATCAATCTCGTAGTCCAAGACGGCACACACGCCACCGGAGGTCATCATGCTGGGCGGAGTTCGCAAGGCCGACGGAGACTCCAGGGAATCTCAGTCGGAAGCAAGAAGAGAAATGCGTGCGTGTGAGCGTCGGAGGAGGTTGGCCAGGTGCCAGATGCCAGATTCCAGGTACCCCTGAAGCCCGCGAGCTCGCAACCACGTCTCCCACGAAGAGTGACGGCGAGGAGAAGGACAGCGAGGAGAAGGACGGCGAGGAAGAGTGAGGTAGGTTCCTGTGGATTTATTGTGCCATGGACTGGCGACCTCGATCAAGTTGCCTCTTGTTCTTTTCTCCCCTCCCTTTTTCTTTTCCCGGTATGGCGTGGTGGGCAAGGCAAATCCAATCAGCAACGGAGATGACACCGGAGTGGTTGACGACCGTCCAAGCAAGTGCGTAGACACCGAACCACACCTTCAGATTGTATCGACCATGCGCGGGTGAAGATGGATCGAGTCTTGAAAGGGTCTGGAAAATCTGAAAGTTTTGTTATTAGCCTTTGTTCCAAGGGGCACAGCCTACTCTGCGACGCGAGAGCCCTCAGGATCTGCGAGAGGCGATTGAAATTTCCGCAGGGGGTGGGGAGTAGGGGAAAAAAGACCCAGATCAACACCAGGGTCGGGAGGGGAGATTTGATGGAGAGGAAGGTTTGCAGAGTGTTTCTGCTGCCTCCGCGGGATGGATGATGTACTGGAGTGCGAGAAGGAAGTGGGTAGTGGGTAGTAGACTGTCGTGGATGGCAGGCCAGCTCGCAGCGCACCGAACAGGAATTTGGATGAGCCGCTCTGTGTCTCGGCAAAAATGTCGTCGTGATCCAGAGGCCTTCTCGGGAGCAGGAGGTAGACGGTAGGCAGAGAGAAAATGTACGAACCTCTTCGGGGGTGGTAGAGCGTGAGCGAAGGCTCGCTGGCTGTCGGTGGGCGTTCCCGGTGGCCCAAGCAGTCGGATGGATACGCAGGATGAAGCGTGCGTGGCGTTGTGGGTGTGGATGTGGGAGTGGGAGTGGGTATGGGTGTGGGTGTGGGTGTCGGTGTCGATCGGGATGGTGAGGGAGGGAGGGATTTTGGGGGGGGGGGGGGATCGAGGGATTGAGGGATTTGGAGGAGTCGAGTCGAGAGGAGGAGAGTCGAGTCGAGTAGAGTAGAGGAGAGGAGAGAAAGAGAGTTGAGTGGAGAGAAAGAGAGTTGAGTAGAGAGAAAGAGAGAGGAAGGGAGAGAGAGGAAGAGGGAGAGGGAGAGGGAGAGGGCGTAGGAGTGGGAGTGGGAGTCGGAGTGGGAATGGGAGAGGGAGAGGAAAAAGAGAAGAGGATACGCTGTCGCAGGGAGAGGGAGGATGGAGGAGAAGAAAGAGGTGGAGATGTGGTCGGTCGGTCGGTCGGACGGTAGGGAGTTGGGGGGGAGGAGAGGGAAAGGACCGGGAAGGGGGAGGGCACGGGGCAGGGAGGGCCCAAGGCAAGGAGGGCACAGGGCAGTGTAGGGCAAGGGCAGGGCACGGCAGGTCAGGGCAAGGGCAGGCCAGGCCAGGGCAGGCCAAGGCAGGGCAGGGCAGGGCAGGGCAGGGCACGAAATAAAATTTGCTACTTCGCAGGCTCGGCTATAGCAGGCTCGGCTATTCAGATAGAGTAGCGGTAGAGGACGGCGGCGATGGAAATACCGAGACGGAGGGGAAGGTGAGGTGAGCACGGTTGATGAGTCAGCAAAGCATTATTCATTCCTTTTCCTCTTTACTGAATCATCATTACTAAATGAATCATATAATATCACGTACGTAGTATATCAAAGTCACTTCTTTAAGTTGATATGTGTGTGTGTGGATACCGGTAGACGGTCTAGATAGACAACACAGACAGACAGGTAAACAGGGGTGTTCTTATAACAGATTCGATTCTCCCCTTTTTTCAACAGACCCCCAATGATAGCCCAGCATCATCTATCTACCGAGTCATCGATTTTCGATCAACGAAAGTACTACTACGAAGACATCTTGCTGGACTAAAATGATTCATCATCGCGGAGATCTCGGCAGTATGCACCGAAGCGATTCTTGTCGCTCTGATCGCACAAGGTAGAGAATTCAGCGGTGGCTTTCTCATTAGCCGTAAGGCACTAAAAAGTAACAGGTGTTAGCAGTAGAGATACATCGATACAGAAGTTCAAGAAGACTTGATTAAATCTGGTCATCACTTACTCTCCCATACAACATTTTGACATTTTGGAGCATGCTGCAGAGGCGTTCCGCCTCATCCGAATCGACACAAGTACAAGATTGCGGCTTTGCGCTCACTAGAGAGATGCTAGAGTAATAGGTATGCAAGTTAGCAAGCTCGCTATAGAAGACTCATGAAGATGGATTAGACAAAGCTACTGACAAGGCCACGACAAGCAAAGTCTTGATAGAGACCATTTTGAAAATGTATCACGGAAAGTGTGGAAAAGATTGAGATATATATCTGTTGTGTTGGGATTTTCGAAGTTGAGAAATCAGAGGGCTGAAAAGACTGATGATGATGATGATATAGAAAAAGACTCGCGCGAGAAGGAAGACTTTATACTCGTATTACACTATAGCTAGGAAGATGTAGCTAGGAAGATGTAGCTAGGAAGATGTAAGGTAGAAAGCTGAGACTCGTCGGCGAGTCAACAAATCATTCTAAATTACTTTGTACGGAAAGCAAGCAACCGACGAGTCCGTGAACATTCGATTGAATCGATTCTTTCGGCTTGGCTAGTGCAGAATCAGCCTTCAATAAATGAACCAAGATCATCATAAGGTGACTTGCCCCGCCGTATGGTTTCAAGCTGTATATTGTATTACCGTCTTTGCACGGCGAGTGAGGTCGGGACAAAGATTCCCCAAGCCTCGGACATAATGGAGCATGATTCCCCCATGTGGCATGCCACAACACCCTTGCGTTCCCAGGGGAACTACTACGTATTTCTACGCAACACTGCTGTACCATATTGATGGAATGCTTTCTCTCTTGGAATTCGGCTCTCTGTCTTGGGTTCCGTTTCCTTTTTCGCACTGCTATGTGCACTTACGGCTGACCCCGGTCCGGCCTTGATACCAGTCGCTTTGGGACTCGCACAGCCACGCTAGAAGCTGGCTACAGCAGTCTGTCTGTACTTGCCTGGCTTTCTTTTGTGCTTTTCCCTTGACGAGAGGCTCCCTCTTACTGTGATCCATCCTATCCGTAAGAGAAGGGTCGATTATTTCCTATGCCTCGAACATTGTGGAGTTGTTTTTCCTGTGCCTCAACCCACTTTTTGAGTGAGCCGCCCAGCTAAATCCACCTGCTGCTCTATGCAAGGAAATATCCACATTTATAATTTAGAAAAGCATGTAGGTATGTTTCCCTGATCATACCGATACCGTAGCTTTTTTAATTCGAAAGTTATAGTTGCAACGAGCGCGCTATTTGCATGTATCGTCAAAGTAGTATACGTATTTTATAAAAGTCTTTTCGCTATTCGGACACTTAAGCTTTTGGGGGGCTACGATTTTTTACTTGTACGAGGTGTCCCTTACGCACCTTCAGCTCTTTTTCTTTCTTTCTCTTGCGGTAAAAAGAGAGATAAAAAGTCTAAAGAGCCGAAATTGAATTATTAATATGCGACGTCTTTTCGAAAAGATTTTCTTTTACTAGCGATTCCGAACCTCCCCTTTCCTTCTTCTCGAATACTATGCCGATTACGATTTATACTTAACGGGCATACCGATTAAAAAGATTAAGAGGATTTGCGATAAAGAAAGAACGTATATAAAAGATAGGATAAAAAGCGCTTAGTTCGATTAATCGAAAACACGATATTGCGCTTTCGAAAAAGCGTTTTGCAAACACACCGGCTTTATCTAAAGGCTACGAACGCGAGCCTTTTTAGCTTTACGACGAAAGAGAACGATATTTGTATTATACGGATCGAGGCCGCTCGTAAAGCTATACGTATTCGATAGTTGTCGAAAGAAAACTCGACGCATAACACTATGAATTGCTTTTAAAAGGTTTATAATTATTCAGCTATTTAACGAGAAGTTTTCTTTAACGTAGTTTTTACTTTCGATTAAATAGTACTTTGTATATAATTCCTTTACTTAGCACGTCGCCGTACTTTATGAAAGGTCCTTAAGGTCCAAGCATTGCGTTTTAAATACCCGCCCGACGTTAATAAATACAATAACAACAACAACAACAACAACAACTAAAGTTGCAATCGTATAGAATTCAAGTGTAAGCGGCATTACTAAAAAAGTTTCTTGCATAAAGCAGCGAGTAGATTAAGCTAAGCGGCCCACTAAAAAAAAATAGGTTGAGGCATAGGAAAAATAACTCCGCAGTGGTCGAGGCATGGGAAATAATCGGCCGTAAGGGAAGGGCGCAGACGACAGCAGCTTTCGCTGCCGCACTCGGAAATTGCTTTCGAGGGCCGCCTTGTATGGAACTCGTTAGCTTAGCACGTCGCCGTACCCCATGGGAGGTCCCAGGGCGGCAGGCGAAGCCAGCATGCTACCCGCCCGACCTTAATAAATACAAGAACAACAATAACAACAACAACAATGCCTCCACACCCAAACCCGAATATTGCTCTACCCCGTACATAGGCTCGCCCATGTTTCCCTTATGCGCGTTCAGTGAAGTTAAATAGAAAAGCGGGAAATAATCGCTCGGAAAATAAGCTGTGTGAAACGACGGGTTTATTGCAAGATTGCTAAAAAAAGAAAAAAGAAGAAAAAAAAAAGAAGAAGAAAAGGTAACACTATTAAAGAATCGCGTATCTTTATAAACGCAGAATCAATTGATTATTCTACGATCTGACGCTGCGCAGGGCATTTCTTCTTCTTCTTATTCTTCTTCTTTTTCTTCTTTTTCTTCTTCTTTTTCTTCTCCTTCTCCTTCTCCTTCTTCTTCTTCTTCTTCTTAACATCATGGCGCAGTCCAGTCCGACCACGAGCCCAGAACCAGAGGCGCAGAACAAGAGTACGGACGGCGTTGCGTGATTGCGTTGTTGCGTTGTTGCTGGCTCTTTTTTCCAGCATATCCCCAGTCTCTCTTCCGCTTCTTCCGATTTTCTCTTCTCTTGGCTTTGTTTGATCTTACCTCGGCTCGAAGGGCGCGGTGTGTGATCGGCCAGCCATCGCGCTGCGGGAAGCTAATAGTAGGTACCGGTATTCAGAATAAGATACCGTACGGACAGGTTAGGGCCGACGATACCGGTAGATAGGTAGTACCGGTAGCTGGGCTCATTGTGCAGGCCGCATAAAAAGGACCATTTCATGGATTTCATTTTCATTATACACGGGGTAGAGCGGCAATTCAGTTGTGGGTATTGAGGCATGGGGAAAAAAGGCTTCAAAGCTACCCTGGTTGCCCCGTGACGTTCGATATATCCGACCGTGCCGTAAGTCCGTGTCGACACCGGTCAGCTTCCGGGTTCAATGAAATCACCAGACATCCGCGAGCAGATTACTCACCCCCTGCATACGTAGCGTGGAGAAACGTGATTGATCCGGCACATGCAGCGTGGAGAAACGTGATTGATCCGGCATATGCAGCGTGACTAAAGCGTGATCTTTCCTGCCCGTGCTCGAGGCAGGTGATGGATGACAGGTGCCACATCCCGCAGTCCTCCGGACATACATACGTCAGTCTGTCAGCAGGACTCGAGGTCCTTTAAGTACTATATTCCACGAACAGACGTGTCGCTAAAGCCAACGATATGATTCCGTCTATCTACAACCAGGGATGTCACCCTTCTCGCTTAAGGTACCGGTACCTTCTCGACATCTTCTTTACTTATCCGATAGCCTCTTCTCAACCTCAACCTCAACCTTTGACTCTGACTCAGCCTTTCCTTCCATCTTCCCATCCATCTTCCCATCAACCTTCTCATCCATTCCCTCCTCATGAACCTTCTCATCCCCTCCCTCCTTACGCAGCACAACCACCCTATCCTCCACGTATCCCAACCCCCACTTCGCACTAGCAGCTTCCAGGGCCTCCGCCAGCACCTCCTCGAGATCCCGCCGGAGTTCCTCGTGGAGCGAGAGCCCGTAGAAATCCTCCCGCTCTCCCACGGGGAGCTTGTCCAGCTCTCGCAGGATAGCGGCGTACGTGTCGTCGATCTCGCCCAGCTGGATACGGATCCTCTCGAGGGCCTGCGCCAGGTTGACCTCGACGTCGCCGAGTCTCTTCTTGACGTCTTGGCCGGCCTTCTCTAGCTGGTCGCAGAGGGCCTTCTGGTGCTCTTCTGGCGTCGGCATTTTTTCTTCTTCTGTCTTCTGTCTTCTTTTCTTTTTTTTTTTTTTTTTTTTCTGTGCCGAGTGCTTTGTTCTTGCTTCGATGCCTTCTGTGCTATCGTGTTTAGCTGTGTTCGAGAGAGAAAGAGAGAGAATCGATGAGGCTCTGCAAAGGACATGGAGAATGAAAGTCTTTCCAGACCGAGTATATATATATAATTCCGGAATACGGGTCAACTTGAATCACAGCAGCGTTACACGCACACGTCTATTTGCACGTACAATCAATCACCCACTCACGGACTCAGACACTCTCCCGCTCTAGTCCGCCGGAATCATCTATTATTCCACGTTTGATTCTCTCATAACGAGTCAATAGATTTGACACTTACTTGCTAACTGACTGCCTCACTTCCAACTCACCATTGGTAAAATGCATCTAAGCGAGGATAGTAGCTAGCTAGCCTTTTCTCCAACCACCCTCTTCCCTTCTGCAAACATGTCCAAACCCCCCATTTCTCTGCCGTCTCATCACTTACTCTTGTTCGAGACTGGCCGCATCAATCCACCCGCGCCCCTCCTCCCCGCCCTCGTTCCCCTCCAACAGGAAAGACAAGTACAGCTCTCGTCTCGACTTTTGCCGCCGCGCCACTCCCGTCCAGCTAGGTCAGGTCGCCAACAACGTAAAAGCAACAGAAAGAAAGTAGAAGCAACAGAAGAGTGACCGACCCAGGGATCGGATCGGATCGGATCGGATCGGATCTGCTACTCTACACTACTTACTTACTTACTTACTGTACGATATGATATGATATGATGTGGTGAATGCCCTTCCCGTGATCAGACGCGTGCGATGAGACGCGGTGTCTCGCTCTGAAGAGGGGCTCGCCAGCTCGGCGGTGGATGGGTTTCGCTGCTGGGTTGTTTGTTGATTTGTTTGTTTGTTTGTTGGTTTGTTGGTTTGTTGGTTTGTTGGTTTGTTTGTTGGTTTAGGTGGTGCTGATGGTTATGGTGATGACGGTGATGATTGATATCATAGTTAGGAAAGAGAGGCGGGGAAGGAGGGGGGGGAGAGAGAGAGAGAGAGA